TAATAATAAAATAAATGTACCTCACAAGTCTAGGGTAAACTGTAATGAATTGTTTCAAGACTAAACCTAATTTCTTTTCTTGGATGAATTTATTATAAAAAAAGTTCACTTCGATGTACACTTATCAATTCAATAGAAACATAAATTTCAAAATATTTCGGGGAATCATGTGATGAACGGATTCTGCTTGTCTTTATCTTGTTCCCTGAACAAAAAGAAAAGCTTTTTTGAAACTTTATTTTCCAAATCTAGGTTACTAAATTTCTTTGTTCTTTTCTTAATTTACTGTTTTTTTTTATGGTTAGGTTAATATTAATAAATTATATAGTAATAATAATATAAATATTATTAATATAAGAATATCTTATTTGACCACTGAATGAACGGAAGACGAAAAGAGAAAGAAATAGAGCTTAATACCACCCTTTTGGACTAATGAGTTCATGCCAAAATCTATCCTTTTTATTATTTTCTATTACACTAAATATTATAGATTTCTCAACTCCATATATAAATATCGAGCAAAGAATGTCGATTAGAATGAATGATTCCTCAGTGCCAATCCTCCCAAAATTCTATACACTTTAGTATTGACAATTTCAAAAAACTGATAATACTATGATTATAGTATGATGGCGGTTGGACAAGTGGGCCCCCATCGTCTAGTGGTTCAGGACATCTCTCTTTCAAGGAGGCAGCGGGGATTCGACTTCCCCTGGGGGTAGGTTACTATGAAAGAAAGTAAATCATGGATTACCAATAAGTTTAAAAGTGATTCGTCCTGGGTCGATGCCCGAGCGGTTAATGGGGACGGACTGTAAATTCGTTGGCAATATGCCTACGCTGGTTCAAATCCAGCTCGGCCCAACAATTCGTCAATCTATCACTATAGGTTATAATAGAATCCCTTTGCCCTTGATAAATACTCGATACGGAGATAAAAAAGACTAAAAATCTTTCCTAGATCCCCATCCCCTATTTCATTGGGATTGTAGTTCAATTGGTCAGAGCACCGCCCTGTCAAGGCGGAAGCTGCGGGTTCGAGCCCCGTCAGTCCCGGCGGCTCCAATAAAAAGACATCAATCAATTTATCTCTCCCTTGTATGACTATGAAATATGACTAGGAAAAAGTTCATATAACTATCAAAAAGTCCCGGGGGCACAATTTTCTTTCTAAACTAACAACTAAAAAAGGGCTCTTTATTTTCCTTTTCTTTCTCTTTTTGGCAAGAAAAGGGGTGTATTAGTACAATTATTGGTAGCATTAATTATTGGTAGCATTATAGTAAGGATTCCAAGTCTGCTTTTTCGATTATTCTAGATACCTGGAAATATTTATATATACCTGGATATAGGGTAATCTATTTATATAGTTTATTTTTGTTGTTTGTATTTGTAACTAATTAAAGTGAAATAGAAGAGCGATCTCATGATACTTGATCAGAGGATTGTACATCAAAAAATCAAAGGTAAGTTATAGAAAAAAGAACGGAACCAAATAAAGATAAAGGAATTTTGGATTGGTTCACGAATTGAAATTGGGTCGGTACGCATAAAAAAACCTCCTATGTTATACTATTCCGTTTTTTATTTTGACGACGAATTTTTTTGGTAACAATTTTTTTGGTAACTCAGGTATTGTTATTCATGATATGGATCCGATTTAAAAACATTAATTAATAGGTAATTGATTCGAAAGAGTTATCATCTCTAGGGGATTAAATCCCGAGTTATTGTAAAATAAAAAAAGCTTAGATTATGGAAGTAAATATTCTTGCATTTATTGCTACTGCGCTATTCATTCTAGTTCCTACGGCCTTTCTGCTTATAATTTACGTAAAAACAGTCAGTGAAAATAATTAATTTCAATTAAGCTTCATTTATAAGTTCTTATCAAAAATGAATGAAAGGAATTCCAATTTTCGCGTCTTAAAAATAAAGGAAATAGGCGAATTATGATCGGGGTAGTATTCTAATAGATAGACCATATGGTCTATCTATTAGAATTAGTAGAATGTATACTGTGGAAAGTTCTACTTTAAAATATACAAAAAATTTTTAAATTATAAAGCAAGCCATAAGTGTGTAATACGGGACTCGCCTGAGAAAGGATTCTCTTATGTATAATATCTTGCTCGACAACCGCGATGTCTCTGCGTATACCGCTTGTAATAGTCATAGAAAGGACATAGATTTTCAAAATTGTCAATTAAAGAGGGAATAATTTCCTCAGTACTCATTTCTAACTCCAGTAACAACCCGTTGATTGAAATATAACATCTCGCAAGACTTGTTATTCTAATGAATTTCCTTTACTAAGTATTCCGAAAGAAATACAAAGATGGCAATTGGTGAAATATCTGTTTGATTGAAAAAGTGTGATTATATAAACACATTCTAAACACATCAAAACAAACATTAACAAATTCAAATCCCAAATCATCCAAATTACAACATTTATACATGAAAGAGTTATAAATTAAAGAGTCCTACAATTGAATTACTTTGACGACCTTTTCTTCCTTGTAGCCCCATCGCCAGGAGTATACTTCTTGGCCGGTTTACTAACCCTATCACTCTTGCGAACCTCGACCGTTTTCTTTTTCTTTTGGGAAGAAACACGAGGTGGAGAGGACTCTTCTTCTTCTTCTTCTTCTTCTTCTTCGCCCCTAATGTAGTAATCCTCATCGCTTTCATTGCCTTCATCATTTTCATCATCTTCTTGCATCGAAGTTGGATTGGGATGAACTATGATTGTTCGATCTGAAATTCCCGGTCGCTTCCTCCTTCCTCCTTCAGTAGGCTTCGATGTTGTTTTCTGCGTGAGTACCACATTTTGACTTGACTCAGGGGGTCTTTTCTGAAGAACTTGAGTATCGGACTGAGTGCTCATATCACGTGGGCCCAAAGTCAGGGCACTGAAACTCTTGTTGAAGATTTGGAAGAGTTTATCCTCTAGACTACCACCGAGGCTTGGATTTTCCCGTAAGGCTACATCAGCGAGATGATATATGTCGCTGAGATTTAAAGACTGCAGAAAATTGAACCATGTGAATAAAGTGTAAGATATAGCAAGAATTAAAATATAAAAAAAAATTTAAGTCAAAATATAATATTAGATCTTACATAAAATCTCTCCAGAGATGAAGACGAGTGATAACCCTGTGCCAGAGGGCCGTATTGAGTGGGATCAGTCATAAATCTGATAGTCTTCTTTTGAAACCACGACATGTAGTCCGATGTGCATTGAGGACCTAGTTCTGGATCACCCAATTCATGAGGGACCACGTGCTGATCTCTCACATTCCAATGAGGCCGTACCTCAGTGTGTTTTTGCACCCAATCATCATATGCCTTTCCAGTCCCAAGGCATCCGTGGTGTATCGCATTCCAGCGATCAATGTCATTGATTAACGGGTACTCTGGCACAGTTTGGACGCATTGAAATTGACGAAGGACCCGATTGGGCTCGTATGGTTTTCTGATGGCCCAACAAAAGATCCACGTCCTACAGAGGTAGAAATTAACCCCCTCTTTACAGAAATCAGGGAGATCGTCGATGAAGGGAGTGTATGGAGTCCATAGAAACTGTCCAAAAATAAAAAATTAGTAAAAATAAAATAGAGAAAAATATGAAAAGGAATTTTATCAAGCAACTTAAACCAATACTTACATCCCCATCCCTTAGGCTAGATAACTGATCCTTGATGCCAGCAACACAATGAGCGGCGATGTTCGCTTTGGATTTTGGGCATTTCCACCTACGATTGAGACATAATAGGAAATAAAAAAATAATAAAATAAATCATTGGATTTTAACATAATAGGAAATAAAAAATAATAAAATAAATCATTGGATTGAGACATAATAGGAAATAAAAAATAATAAAATAAATCATTACCTATTGCCTAATGGTGCGTCCGGCACCAAGTAACTCTCATCTTTAACCTTCCTCTTTGGTTGAAGTCTTGGGATACGCTCCCAAACCCATAACTGAAATTTTAAATCAAATAGAAAAGGCACAAATTAGGAAAACAAACAAAAATATAATAAAAAAATATAAATAAACAAAGAAACACAAAAATTCACCTGCATCAGCATATAACATCCGGTAATGTCTTTTTTCCCGGGCGCGGAAGCTTGACACAGAGCAAAGTACAACTTAGCTAACACAGCTGACCCCCAACTGTAGGTAGCACAGACATCCAAATCCTCGAGTATTGTCAGGATCCAAAGTGGTATTCTGTTTCCCGTATTGTCAGGAATCAAGAAACCTCCAATCAGTAGTAACAGTAATGCACGGGCCCTCTGTGTATAGGCCTCTCTTGGGGCATTTTCTGGGATCGGACGCAGACACTCGTTGATTAAACACTCTGCATAAATCTTATTTCCATCAAACATGTCACTAACGGGTGTAATTCCCAACAATCCAAAGCACAATGCCATCCACTGTGCCATAGAATTCTCAGGTGTCATCCCCTCCACAGGCTTACCATCCACTTTCAACCCTAATAACACCTCAACGTCTTCTAGAGTGATAGTGGCCTCGCCAAAATGAAAATAAAATGTATGAGTTTCAGGCCTCCACCTCACAACCATTGCGGTGATCAAACAATTGTCCGCTTGTATATAACCTAGTTGGATCACCCCCCCCAAAGCCTGCCCGCTTTATCTCATCTATGACTTGTGGAGGGCAATGCCGGGATGGTTTCTCTATACAAGTCCAAAAATGACTATCAAATCTCCTACCTTTAAGGGCTTTACTAAAAGCCTCATGGTTCTCGAAAATAGCTTTCGCCCTATGATGGTCATATAGGTATAATAATGAGTCATCTATTGGAGCCAGATTAAAATGTTGCAGTGTGGGTTGCGAGGAACTCGAACCCTCCATTTTTTAATCCTATAATACCAAATACCAATACCAATAGCAATATCAATACCAATACCAATACCAATAGCAATATCAATACCAATACCAATACACAGAGTGCCGGTACACACAGAGTGCCGGCAACACACACACACACACACACACAGAGTGCCGGCAACACACACACACACACACACACACACAGAGTGCCGGCAACACACACACACACACACACATTCACACAGTCACACACACACATTCACACATTGCCGGCAACACACACACACACACAGAGAATGAAAATGAAAAAAATGGACAAATTACCTGAATGTGTGTATCGCCGGGGAGGGGAATCGCCGGGTTTGGGGAATCGCCGGGGAGGGGAATCGTCGGGTTTGGGGGAATCCAACCTTGAGTAAGGGGAATCGGCGGGATTAGGGTTGGAGAAGAAGGGGGAGTCGATTTTGACTCCCCCAAATTTTGGTCAACCGGTTATATACTCGTCAAAAATCGGATTCTACAAATCCGATTTATTCATTGAGAAACAAGGTCGGATTTTATAAATCCGACCTTGAACAGAGAGTTGCGAAGTTGGTTGCAAATTTTCACCAAAATCCGACCTTCGGAGTGAACAGTGCACAAATCGGATTCAGGAAATCCGACCTTGGACAGAGAGTTATGAAGTTGGTTGCAAAATTTTACCAAAATCCGACCTTCGGAGTGAACAGTGCACAAATCAGATTCAGGAAATCCGGCTTTATGCCTAGATCGGATTACAAAATCCGATTTTCCTTGAAACTCGGATTCAGAAAATCCAGCTTTATGCCTAGATGGGATTTTGAAATTCGGATACACAAGTAGTAATATCAAACACAATAACAATATATTAAATAAACTAATTCATTAAGTCTCATGGTTCAAAAGAACTACAACATAAACTCCAAATCGAACAAACTAAAGCATAAATATCAAAAGTTTCGAGACATGAAACATTGTTTTGCCACAAAAACAACAATTCAACCAAACAATCCTAGTCGTTGTGAATACCATCGGCGTCCCAATTGATCTTGAGCCTTGTCCTATCGGATTTCTTCTGTGATTTTGGGCACGCATTGGTGAAATGATTCCTTGAGCCACATCTCAAACATTCACCCCTCGATTTGCGTCCCCTATAATCCATTTGCATTTTAAATCTCTTCTTTTGCCAACGACCGGGTCCAGCATGCATAATAACTCGCTCGTAGTTAGGAACGAGTCTCCATCCAACCTTAGGCCATCTTCTCATATCAGGGACAGAGGAAAAGTCATCGCCCACTGAATTGGTCTTGCCAAGCAACAACCCTGAAATATGGATTCACCGTATTGATTGGTTGATCTTTTATCTTCCGACACACAGCTAGTGCATGTGTACAAGGGAACCTATACTCTTGCCACTTCTTGCAAGAACACTTCTTGTCTTCATATTTCACAGTGTACGTGTTGTCCCCTTTACCACCAAGTCGGGCTCTACTTTTCACCTTGAACTTGCCATTAATAGTACCATAACGGTTGACTTTGTGTTGCGCGGCTTTCTTTTCTTTTTTCTTGAAGTCTTCCCACAAGTCAGTTGGGACCGGAGTAATACATTTCCTTGACTTCATGTATTCTTCTTGGAACAAATCCACAGTCTTAATAAAAGTGGCTTCCACCAAAGCTCGGATTGGCAAGAAACGAACGCCCTTGAGGACGTTGTTGTAGCTCTCAGAAATGTTCATTGTCTGGTTACCCCAACGATAGTGTTTGTCTTTGGCAAGAGTCCACTGACAAGCATCAATCTCCTCGAGATACAAATAAGCATCATTGCTAAAATCACGTAGCTCATTCCTTAGTTCTTTGAATTTAGACTTAGAAAGTTTCGTGCCCATCTCCCAACACAACCTTTTGATCTTTTTACTTCGAAACTGCGCCACCAAGTTACTACGGACGTGACGAAGGCAAAACCGGTGGTATACATTCCATTCGGGCATTAGGCGTATTGCACTGATGATACCCTTGTGCCGATCGGATATAACACACACAGGCCGGTCGGATATAACATGATTCCTCAAATGCTTCAAGAAGAATGACCAACTTTCCTCACTCTCTTCATCCACAATCGCATATGCAATTGGCAGGATGCGGTTATTCGCAGTTTTGACCATTGCAGCAAGTAATTTACCTTTGTATCCGCCGCGCAAGTGCGTCCCGTCGATACTAATTACCAGAGGACATTTAGCAAAACAATCAATTGCAAGCTTGAATGCCCAAAAAATGTATTTGAACGTCCTCTCTATATCGGTCCAACCCGGTTGCCATTCCCACTCTACAACTGTGCCGGGGTTGCTCTTCTCTAGGGCGGTGAAAAATCTAAATTAAAATAAAAAAATTAATCCTTATTTTATTCCTAAATTACAAACAAATCAAAAAAATTAGATAGGACTTAAGTAAATACCTTGGAAGTATGTCAAAAATGGAAACCCAGTCGCCGTAAACAAGATCGATAGCTTTTCTCCTTCCCTCCCATGCCCTGTGGTAAGGAACATCGACATGCATACGGTCTTTCACTTCTTCCTGAACGAGCTTCACTTCATAATCTGGGTCCAACTCAACCTTATGCCTTATGAGATGCGCAATAAGCGTTGCGCTCAAATTCCAATTATTGTTTTCCTCGGTGACATTCATACAATTGTGCTCGGGCACCCATTTCACAATCTCCCACAAATCGTGGTCTCTCAAGGAGGCACGTACCTTCCAACGGCAAGGAACATAACCCTTAGGGGTTGACTCTTTTAGGGATTTGCACCAAATAGACCATGTTGAATCATCACTTTTCTTCACATAAAACTCTCTCTTTTGCTCTATGTTCCACGCTGCAATACCATTTTTTGCTTCTTCCTTATTCTTGAAACAAGCCCCTATCCCAATTGTTGCGGTTGTCCCGTCCCACATGGTAAGTTGAAAATCATCCTTGTCCACTTTTGTATGATCTCATGTACCCTGTGAACGATATATGTGCCTATCCTTTGTGGCAAATTTGTCTTCGACCTCTTCATCACTCTCCCGACTTTCTTCGGATATTGATTGGTTTTTATCGCTTTGATCACTTATCGATGTGTAGTCCTCATCATCTTTACCATGATTATATTCCATGTGATCGCCATCCTCCATAAACGGTCCACCCGCATCATCATCTTCCATGTAATCGACATTCTCCACATTCGGCCTACCACTAGTTGTCCCTACTTCCAAATGGGACCTAGAAGTACCCGCCACCTCCAAATCTACATACAAATCAATATATGTCGAACTTGGGAGGAAATACAACACTTGCAACGATGCGTCGTCCTTGATTTTGGCGATACGCCTAAAACCATTGCGCATCGTATCATACAAAATCGATAGACTCAAATTCACATTCTTTCTATTCCACCCCACTCTTTCACAAATCAGTCCAACCAAATCATTGTACAATAACTTATGATCAATCACAAAGGAATCGTCCGGCATGTTGTTAAAACTATTCACAATCCCATTCTTCACTACAAATTTGCTCGACCAATACACATTAATGAAATATGGACCGTTAAACGCCATTTATATCTGTTGATTACATGAATTACAACACATCATGAACAAATTATTAAAAAAAATGACACAAACAAGGCATTATCAAACAACTTATTATAACAATTACCACAAACAAGGCATAATCAACACTAAATTTACTAAAACCTCTACAAATTCAAAAGTTTAGGCCAAATTCAAGCATTTTACTAAATTGAACGTTAAATACCACGTATACAACAACAATCATCAACTACACCCAACATCAACCCTAAAACCTTATAAATCATCCTAGTTCTAAACTTTTACAAAGAAAATAACAACAATAATTCTAAATACATCAAAACATTAACTAACCTTCTTATGAAATGGTTTTAAGACATCCGTTGCGAAGAATCGTGAACAAAATCTTCAAATCGCCACTAAAATCACCTCCTCCTTCAAGAAATAGCCTACTTTACCAAAAATCTCGATACGTGAACAGTGTTTTCCGTCGCCCCATTATAACACAAAAAGGTCGGATTTCTAAAATCTGATTTTACTTATAAAATCGGATTTAGAAAATCCGATTTATTAAGGCCGGATTTCACGATTCCGACCTTCTGCCAGCTAATAACGTCCATTCAATGCCGATACCTACTGTTAGGTATACTTAAATAAGGTCGGATTTTGTAAATCCGATTTTGTACTGTTCTTAATTTTCAAATCTCCCGCCTATATTTTTTAATGAAAATAAACAAGGTCGGATTCCTAAAATCCGGCCTTTGATTGTTCTTTATTTGACTTTCAATACATTTTTCTCACATATATTTTCCGGAAAAAAAATTGTTATTTTATTAAATCGGATTCATAAAATTCGAACTACTAATTTAATTAGTAGGTCGGATTTTGAGAATCCGATCTCCACATTTTTCTTTACCAAAAAAAAAAAATATAGATCTCTATACTCCTTTTTCTAGTTGATTTTTTAACCAAACCACCCATATCAATGGTGATAATGGTGAAACATTAGCATCAGTACTACCTCCGTCCAAAAAAAAATAGTTTATATTGATTTTTTAAATTTATACTAAAAATAGTACAAAATTTAAAATTCATTGTGCATTATTTTTATGGGACATGTGAAGTACTTAATTTCCCTGTCTCAAAATTATTGTCCAGTTAATTTATATTTTTACTTTTAGCTCAATTTGTACTAAAAATGAAAAATTTAAACCGGACAATAATTCTGGGACAGAGGAAACTTAATTTTTTAAATTTGATGATTCCATAAGCATCAGCTCGATCCAACTCGTCGGCTGTAGGAATTTTGATTTATGGAACTCAAGTACTGGCTTTCAAGAAGTGCTTCAGACAGTGTTTCTGTGCCCTGGAAGAAGTAAGTGAACTTTCCTATAGGGCTTTTCTTTTAACGCATACAAATTAAAGGTCGCTTTAAAAATTTGTCACATTCTTTACTCATTGGTCCAATTTTCATTGCTATATGTTTTCCTCAAAGCTTAACTTAATTTGCAAAATCTGAACGAGATTTTGGGAGAAATGGAACTTCAATTTTCCAACTTCATGGCTAAGTGCCTTTTGCGCGCTTGATATGCTTATATTTTACCTATTTATTATATCCTTAATTTGTGATTTTTACAATATATTTTGAGTATAAATAAGCTATTTATATGATTTTATCTTTATTTGTAGGAATTGTACTCAAATGGAGGAATTGTTGAAGTTTTGGATTGAAATCAAGACAAAAGAGCAACTTATGGGAGCAAGATTGATGATTTGAATAATTAATGAAAAATAAAATCCAGCCAAAAACTCAAATTCCTGCACGGGCAAACGGATTGGGGACTAAAGTGCAAAGTTAAAGAAGTTTTGGGGTAAAATTATAATTTTATAAAACCTCAGAGATTAAAATGAAATTTCCGAAACTTGGGCAGCAGGTCATATGAAGAGTCGGTTTTGGCAGTTTCCATAGGGTTCTGGTTCTGACTTTTGCAGCCAATTATATAAAGGATGATTTTGATTATTTTTTGGGAGAAAACCACACCCCACAAAACCCACGCACCAAACCACCACCTCTCCACCTACATCCAACTCCGCCGACTCCCCCGCCGCACTCCACCTTTCTCCTTCTTGCCCACCACACGCAACACCAGCCATCACCATCTACAAGCCCACGCAACAGCAGCCATCAGCCCTCCATTCCCACGCAACCCACAAAACTCCCTCCAAACCCTTCTCTACCTCCACGCCTCCATCACCCCATCAACACCAACTTCACGCATCATCGGAGGAAGCCGGGCAGCATTTAATTTGATCTTTCGTCCCGGGTTCTTTGGTTTTTATTTATTTTTATTTTTGAGATGATGTGTATATAAATTATTTAATCTAGGGTTTTGGATGCAGCCGTCGTACTATTTAATTTAATTTAATTCATGATTGTGACTTTTTCATTAGTTGATATTTAATATTCTTGTTTTTATTACATGTGAGTATTTGATCACCACTTGCATGTTTTAAAGGTGTTTAACTGAAGGAACGACGGTTAAAGGTTAACATTAGTTAATGGGAATATTAAATTTAGGTAGTGAGCCACGACAGTAGGAGCATGGTCTTTGCAGCTAGAGATTCTAAAGTTCTTAATGTGCTTTTATTATCCCTATAGTCACGACAGTAGTCATAGGGTTAGTTTGAGTAAGAGAATTATATCACGACAGTGAATAGTTCTTAAATAGGTGAATCGTTGTGAGATTAATGAAAGTCCAAAGTCACATGTCTATAAGTTGAGTTAAATTGAGTAGTCGGTAGGTGAACCCTTTGCCCTGAGTTTTCTTTTATTTGTGTAAAATCTTAAATTAATTGTAATTATTAGTTTTAGGTTTAGAATAGTTTAAAATTGATAAATTGTTAATCTAAATAATAATAAGAAATAATTTTAACCGGTACTTGGTAACCTTTTTCTGTGGGATCGACCCTACTTTCTGCTTTACTGCTAGTAATTGTATTAAGTAGGTAATTAATATTTGACTAGTGTGACGACGGCTTGTCAAATTTGGCGCCGTTGCCGGGGAAGGCATAACCAATATCAAAACTAGATTATTTCTTTTATTAATTTAGATTTGTATATATTTTTCTTTGTTTTATTAATTTTTAAATTAATTTAATTTTATTTTATTTTTATTTTTATTTTTATTCTCTTTTCTTTCTTGTGTCAATATTTTTGTAGGATTTTGGTCATGGAGAATTATAACTATGGATATGGAGATGCTCCGTATTATAGTTATAATTCTGAATATGGAGACTATCCTACATATCAAGAAGATCCTTATTCTTGGAACAATTCGTCTTCTGATCCTTACTATGGTTGTGATTATCAAGGGTATTCATTTGATGCTGGGTACAATTCTTGTTTTGAGGGCGAGTATATGACTCCTAGGATGTTGTCATGTTTGGAGAGAATTGATAAATTGCTGGATGACATGGAGAAGAAAAATGCTTCATATCTCTCTCAAGAGGATTGTTACCACTCAAATGTATCAGTATATCAACCACCACCTCCTCAACCCACTCTAAGAGAGTTAGCAGCTCGTCAACCCACATTAAGAGAGTTAGCATCTTCGTATCAACAGCCACCTGCTCAACCTCAACTTACTGTTAGAGAGGCAGCTCTTCGAGATTTTCAAAGTGAAAAAAGGCCAACAACTTATCAAAGAGGTCAATTAATATAGGTTGAGTGTGGGGTTGCCGGAATATGATCCTATAGGAAATTTGCTTAAATTGAATAAGAATGAGAAGATTTTTGAAGATGATTCATTGGTCCAGTCTCCCCAGCCACCATCTCAAACTGAGCTTGAATGTAAGGAATTAGAAGAGACCGAAGAGATTAACAGTCAAGATATTCCAAGTTCTCCTGATTCTTCTGGTATATACATAGTAGTTAAGCATGATTCGCTCATTCTGAGAGTTGGTGACAAGGATGTAGATCAAGTTGATTTCACTGAGCAGAACACTCCTATAGTTTCAAAAGAAGGGTTTGAAATAGACACATGTGGTGAAGTTGTCCCTAGTATAAGAGATAGTGAGGATGATGTAAAAAATAGTTCAATGAAAGACCAAGAAGAGGATCAATGGTACAAGATTGAATTTGAGAAAGAGGATGTTGTAGTGTTGGAGTATAAGTTTATATTTTCTCATGGAAAGGAGAACCACTACAAGAGATTCATTGTTGCTGCTGAACATGGTTTCTTCTGGTATCGAGATGGGTATTCTGACTGATTGGCCATGGAGTCCGGCTAAAGACTTTAAAACAGCGCTTATTGGGAGGCAACCCAACATTTTATTTTATTTTGCTTTATTTTATTTTATTTTTCATAAATAAGTGATGGTTGAGTTTTTTGTTCCTGATTATTTAGAAATCTTTGATTTCTAAATTTTCGTGGTTTTTCTTAATCATCTACCTGATAAAATTTACCTTTGTTTTTGTTTATGTGTGGCAGCTACTCTCTAGAACAAATGGTGATGGAAAATGCTTGGATGGTTAAGTAACAGATCTCTTTATTCTTCAACTTCAATAATTCCGGTCCTCTACTTCACATTCCAAGGTTGTGTCGTTTCTTTTCATTCTTTTTATTTATGTCTTTTCTTTTCTTTTCACTTGGTTGCTTTGTCTTTTGTGTTTTATACATTGAGGGCAATGTATACTTTAAGTGTGGGGGAGAGGAAATTGTGTTTTGTGTTTGGTGTGTTTTGTGTTTATTATCATTTAAAAAAATAATAAATAAAAAATCCATAAAAATTGAAAAAATTGAAAAATAAAAAAAGGCCTATGGTGAAGATGGTTATTATCTACAATATGTAAGAATTAGACTATTTTGAATTGTATTGCTTAACTTATGTATTTCTATATGTTGCTTTGAATACCCTGTTTTTTATGCACTTAGTCGTGACTGTGGGATAAGCCTAAAGTGAGATATAGTTGCATGAGTTTGATGTAGATATGCCATGAAAGTTGTGTTTGATTCACTCATACTTATATGATTTGTATGTGGAACCCATCATGTTGTGAAGGAAAAGCAAAGCATTAACCCAATATCAGCCTTAAAAAACCTTATTACTTTGACACTTTGTGTTAAGTAAGTTTGGGGGAGGGGTATTGGCGGATGTTTCTGAGGTTAGGTTAATTTTAATGAGGGAGAAAGGAAGAGCATTCAATGTTGATGCTAGCCCCTTGAGAGGTGAGGAATTGGCATCTTGAGCGGAGAGTTCTCAGGCCCGATGAGGAAAAATAGATATGTAGACTGCCCTAAGTTGCTGAGCCACTATGTATAGGAGTGGCAAAATGCTCTGAGTAGTGGTGCCTGAGTTGGAAAGAGTCCTGAAGAAAAGCCGCATGGACCGAAGAATGGGTTACGAGGAGGAATAGGTTGTCTGTGAGATAAGTCCTTCTACTTCATAGGATGTCTGGTGGTCCATTGCATTGAAATATGGTATGAAATGTGAATCTGTGTTAAAGTGTTATTATATGGCATATTTGCAATAAAGCTTTTGTTTTCTATGTTGAATTTAAAGTGATGTCCCTAAGAAACGAATCGCACACAAACACAAGCGTGGGGGCTAAAAATGCATATGGTTTGCATATTGTTGGGTAGTCCATACTAGAGTTAGTCGAGATCTTTGTGTTATATGATAGTAAATCTCTGAGGCCGCCAAATTAAATAATTAAATATTTTTTGTTGTTTTAATTCTTGGTCATGCTTGAGGACAAGCAATAATTCAAGTTTGGGGGTATTTGATATGCTTATATTTTACCTATTTATATTATATCCTTAATTTGTGACTTTTGCAATATATTTTGAGTATAAATAAGCTATTTATATGATTTTATCTTTATTGGTAGGAATTGTACTCAAATGGAGGAATTGTTGAAGTTTTGGATTGAAATCAAGACAAAAGAGCAACTTATGGGAGCAAGATTGATGATTTGAGTAATTAATGAAAAATAAAATCCAGCCAAAAACTCAAATTCCTGCACGGGCAAACGGATTGGGGACTAAAGTGCAAAGTTAAAGAAGTTTTGAGGTAAAATTATAATTTTATAAACCTCAGGGATTAAAATAAAATTTCCGAATCTTGGGCAACAGGTCATATGAAGAGTCGGTTTTGGCAGTTTCCATAAGGTTCTGGTTCTGATTTTTGCAGCCAATTATATAAAGGATGATTTTGATTATTTTTTGGGAGAGAACTCACACCCCACAAAACCCACGCAAACCACCACCTCTCCACCTTCATCCAACTCCGCCGACTCCCCCGCCGCACTCCACCTTTCTCCTTCTTGCCCACCCCACGCAACACCAGCCATCACCATCTACAAGCCCACGCAACACCAGCCATCAGCCCTCCATTCCCACGCAACCCACAAAACTCCCTCCAAACCCTTCTCTACTCCACGCCTCCATCACCCCATCAACACCAACTTCACGCATCATCGGAGGAAGCCGGGCAGCATTTAATTTGATCTTTCGTCCCGGGTTCTTTGGTTTTTATTTATTTTTATTTTTGAGATGATGTGTATATAAATTATTTAATCTAGGGTGTTGGATGTAGCCGTCGTACTATTTAATTTAATTTAATTCATGATTGTGACTTTTTCATTAGTTGATATTTAATACTCTTGTTTTTATTACATGTGAGTATTTGATCACCACTTGCATGCTTTAAAGGTGTTTAACTGAAGGAACGACGGTTAAAGGTTAACATTAGTTAATGGGAATATTAAATTTAGGTAGTGAGCCACGACAGTAGGAGCATGGTCTTTGCAGCTAGAGATTCTAAAGTTCTTAATGTACTTTTATTAATCCCTATAGTCACGACAGTAGTCATAGGGTTAGTTTGAGTAAGAGAATTATATCACGACAGTGAATAGTTCTTAAATAGGTGAATCGTTGTGAGATTAATGAAAGTCCAAAGTCACATATCTATGAGTTGAGTTAAACTGAGTAGTCGGTAGGTGAACCCTTTGCCCTAGGTTTTTTTTTATTTGTGTAAAATCTTAAATTAATTGTAATTATTAGTTCTAGGTTTAGAATAGTTTAAAATTGATAAATTGTTAATCTAAATAATAATAAGAAATAATTTTAACCGGTACTTGGTAACCTTTTCTGTGGGATCGACCCTACTTCCTGCTTTACTTCTAATAATTGTATTAAGTAGGTAATTAATATTTGACTAGTGTGACGACGGCTTGTCAGCACTCCCATGTCAAACAAATTAGTGTAAGTTTGATTTTCTCTTCCAAAACATGTCTCATCTTTACTAATTCAAGTTTCTCAAATTTCTTTGCATTTCTCGGTCAATATACACTAAAACCGTTAATGTTGATAACAAATTTAGTTATCAATGTTCATAGCATACCTTTTAGATTTATAGCCAAAACACTACCTATTTGGTCACCAAATGGGTGTAAATATTTTCCGATTGAAAATGATATATAAAGTGAAAATGAGTAGTGATTGATATGGTAAATATGTATTTTTTAACCGTTTTTTATTATGTTGGTAGTTATGAATTTAGTGAAGTGGTGGTTTGTCATTTTATGATTCAATATCTCATTTCATTATATACTATCAATGTTCGTATTATTGTTTCTTTCGAGTTATATTTATAAACATATTAATCTTTCTGTCTGAAAATTATTGTCTAATTTGAATTTTACTTTTAGTACAAATTGAACAGCAAGTGAAAATCAGAATTGGACAATAATTTTAGAAGAGAAGTATGAATTAGTAAAGCTTCACAATGATAAATACAACTAGTAATTAATCACACATTATTGATCACAAAACAAAATTACACGTTATTAAGTCTTGAACAATCTTAAGAGCCATTACATAAGTATCTTTTAATTACAAGACAAGCACATATTCTTGGGCGAAGTAAGGATTCTTGTGTTAGTCTTACAGACTTATATTTTTAACCAGCAAGCGGTCAGTCGCAGATTGACTTAAGAGTCCACATCAAACAATGATAATTTAGATTTGTGAAAGGAGATGAATCATCTGCGGACGTGGTTGACAATAGGCAATCAAAGGTTGAACTTTTCGCATGGACAATCCAGGACCTTCCGCCATATCAATCTTTTCAGGTCCAATTTTCTCCCAATTGAAGCATTGGATGAGTAAGCCTAAGGCAAATGTAATAGTACGCATGGCCAAACTTTCACCAGCACAACCCCTTCTTCCAGAACCAAAAGGTAACCATTTCAGACCAATGTCTTTAGTACTACAAATTCCTTCAAATCTTTCAGGCATAAATTTTCTTGGATCATCCCAAATCTGGGGATCATTTTGTATCGCCCACATATTGATTAGCAACATGGTACCTTTAGGCACTCGATAGCCACTTATCACGCATTCCTGCGACGATATCCGAGGTAATAAAGGGCCTCCTGGATACATTCTCAGTGTTTCAATCACTATGCAACGTAAATACGGTAGATTAAATGCATCCGATTCATCTAATAAACGGTCATTTCCCACAACCTTGTTGATTTCTTCTCTTGATTTCTTCAAGGCTGATGGATTGTTTAGTAATAGAGACAATGCCCACTCGATCGTAGCTGTGGATGTATCTGTTCCTGTAGCTAATAAGACCTGGAATTCGTGCATATTTTGGTTCGTAATCAAAACAAATATGTCATAGTTTTGTGAATAAGTTGCATAGACATGTAATTTATCCATAATAACATTAATTGTCTTCCAGTTTCACTCTAATTTTTAATTTTGAACTGAAATTTTGAAACAATTTTTAGTTTCATTTCTAAAGTTTATTAATTGGGTGAATTATATATCTATATAATATATATATATTGGATATATATATATTGGGGTAAATAGTAAAAGTTGTACTACATCGCCACAACTGGATTTTCACATCGTTTTAAACGCAGTCCCATTCACAACCTTTACATGCCAAATTTTAATCAACATTCCTTGTATAGAGTAAAAATACTAGTAAAAGGTCAAAATCTAGTTACTTTTTAGCTAAGAACTGAATCATTTTCCATCAGTGCCATTTGTACGCCAAACTCCTTTTCACCAACAGCCATTTTCTTACCACATTCGGTTTTAAATGGTCTAATATTTGTTTGCTTCCAATTTTACTACAATTCTAGCTCCCATGTGCCACATGTGTAGATCAAGCATTCAAGCTTGATTGAGAAGTGCCCCACGTGATCATTGGAATTGCCTCAAATTTTGAACATACTTTAACCAATTAGAAAATTTACAACCAAATTATCAACAATAAGCACGATACTAAACCCAAAAAAAGGTTAATTTGGAGAAAAAATTCAAACTAAAGTTCCCCAACGATATTTAAATAAAAAAAATTGTTAGATTAGGTAGTAATTATTATTTATCTGCGTCTTTCCCCTCTCTCTTGAGAAAAAAAAAAAACCACCCTCTTCTCTCGTCAAAAAAAAACCTCCGCCGCCCCCTTCACCAACCTCCATTAACAGTGGTTAGGAGAGTAAAATCTTTGTTTTCTTTCTGTCCACCGGAAAAAAACAGAATAATACACATCCATCTACCATCAGTGAAGCCTCCACTCCACCATCCGTGTCATCAACATCAACTCCAATGCTTCGAAACTCTGAAGTCAGAAATTTATTTTGATCTCCGAGAAATAAGAGTTCTGGTTAGTTCTCTGTCATTATCACGGATGCATTCTGTTGGTCTGACCTGTTTATCAGATTAGAGATCAGTGTTGTGTTTTCTGTTTAATTTAATTTTATATTTTTGTTGTTTTAATCCTAGTGTTTTAATTCAATTAAGTGAGATTTCCCACCCTCAGTATAGATACTGGTTCGATTCTTTACTGAGTGAATATAGTGCGCCAACAGAGCCAGGTCTGTTGTTTGTCTTGTGTGGCTCAGTAGATCATGTTCAATCTGTTGATTGCCGCACGTCGTCTTTAATGACGGCTAGTTTGGCCCGAGAATTTTCAGTCACGGTGAATCTGTTATTCAGATTTGCTAATTAGAGCTTTAATCCGATGGTTAGTGACGCACTCGAGTTCAGATTTTTAATCTGTTCCGTTGTATATCCAACAATAGAATCATGCCATTGGAGGATCTTTCCTTCCGAGAATAGCAACTGGTTGGTGAAAGTTTTATTTTTTATTTCCAATTGTAATAGTTTAGTGACTAGTTTAGTGATTGTATTCTCCTATCAGTCGTTGTTGGATGATTTGTATCAATCAGAGCTGGCTGATTTCCAGCAATCATAATGAAGTTTTTTTTCTTTCAAAAAAATAAATAAATAAATAAATAAAGAAAAAAATTGGATTGTCCGAAAGAGATTTAAATCAACAAACTTGTGTAATAAAATTCCCAATCTAAATTCACCATCTCACAACCAGCACTTCAACCCCTAAGTAAGTAATCTATTCTAAGTTATTACTAAATAATGCATTAAATTATTATAAACGTGAATTAATTAGTTTTAAATAATGATCTCTTGCTCGTAAAATATAAGTAATTTTTTTGATAAACGTGAAATTAATTATTTAATGTTGTGCAAACAAATATGGATTAATAAATTATATCTTGGGTTTCAGAAAAGTAGTCAAAATTTTTTAAAATAATATTACCTCCGTCCCAAAAAAAATAATCTAATTTGAATTTTGAGATTTGTATTAATTTTAGTATAAATTTGAAAACTTAATGTGGACTATTTTTTTAGGACGGAGGGAGGGAATAGTAAAATGAAGTTGAATACTTTTTCTAGAAAAAAGGAGTACTGCTAAATATCGATGTCCTCCCGCGCCCTGGATTTCTTATTAAAAAGGAAAAGGAAAAACAAAAAGGACTACTAAATATCGTAGTTCCTCGGATACGATCATGCATGGAAAAGTAACGTATATTATCAACTTACCAGCATAAGGCTTTTGATACTTTCATCTGTATAATACTCGGGCTCTTTTGTTTGCAGGTCCAACAAAGCCTCCACTAATGTCTTATTCTTTTCCCTCTTTCCATCATTTTCCATCTTCTTAAACTCCTCAATCAAATCTTGCATGAATCTATCCCTCTTTTCTTGAAGAACCCTCAGTTTCGAATCCAACCTATCCAATCTCAGCCACCGTAAAAAGGGCAGAAATTCCGCCGTGTTCGACACCCCGGCGTACCTCACCGTCTCCGCCACAATCTCCCTGAACCTCTTCACCTCCTCAACTTCCTCGTCCACGTTATTCTCGTCGCCGTAATACCTTTTTCCGGCAATCATCCTCATCATAATGTTCAAAGTCAGCTCGAAACACAAGGTCTTCATCTCCACGGCCACCATTTCGCTTTGTTGTTTCGCTCGGGAAGCCGCCGCGAAGATCCTTCTCAGCATCAGCTTGACTTCGTCGGCGCGTATCTGGTGAATCATTTCGAGCCTCCGCGACGAGAATACCTCCGCCGAGGCTATCTTTCTTAGGTTTCTCCAGTGGTCGCCGTACGGCGCCCAAACGAGGGACGTGTAATCGTAGCCCAGGTATTTCCCGGCGATCATTCTCGGGCGGTTCGAGAAAATGATATCGTTTCTTATTAGGGTTTCTTCCGCGGCCCTCGGAGATGACACTAACAGGACACTCCGTGAACCCAAATCGAGCATCACCACGGGCCCATAACGCTTGCTAATTTCAGCTAAGCCTTTGTAAAATGGCCTCTTTATGAGGCAGAGATGGCCGACGATCGGCAAACGGAGGAAAGGACTGGGCGGAAGGTTTCGGATTTTACCGAGGAAGTGCTTGGTAAAGATGTATAGAGCTAGGAAAAGTGGAAGGTAAAGGTATAATGGATGGATGAATTGAAGAAGGTGAAGTATCGGAGGAGTTGTGTATATATGATGCCTTATGGTTTTATTATTAACATAATCGATATATATAGACATTAGGTGTTTGTTTAATGTATGGCCCACTTATTAAATGATATTCTACCCGTCCCAAAATTATTGTCCAGTTTAAACTTTTTATTTTTATTTCAATTTTTACTAATAATAAAAATTCAAAATAGATAATAATTTCGAGACGAAAGGAGTAATAAGTTAGATATTCCGTCTGTATGAGAAAATGCTCTACCTTGTTATAATCTCTTTAGTTGGAAAAATGGATTACTTTTATGAGTGTAATAGAGTATAATGCAGGATTACAGCTAAAGGGTAAGTTGTGGTAAAGTGGGGAAGAAAAACTATGGCTGGAAGGACACTGCATGAGAAAACGTAACCGAGTATAGAAGATTGCGATGCGCGAAAAAGAGTATGATGCAAGATCATAGCTATAAGCAAGAACGATGTCGTTCTAAATTCGCAGGTTTTACTCCAAACTAAATTCTTAATCTAGTGTTGTATAGTTGAGATGTTTTAATCCAAAAATGAGGATGGGTCTAGCCGATTAATGCTTAACAACTCCATTGTACGCCTCTCCCTTGTGGGATTATCTTGAGGCAAGTTGATCGTAATCAAACAGAGACATTTGGACTAATTGAATTAGTAGATGAATTTTTGCAAAAATTTGAACGACAGAAGCTTTTCGAATATTAAAGAAGATTTTGGTCAAGCCGTATCAAGTTTATGGTTCGGAGTTATTTCAACTTGCGTTCATATGACAAATGACGTGGGCGGCGGGGAGAAAATTTCACCAAAAATGGACATAAGATCATTAATTTCATCGAAAACAACAACTAAGATGGATGAGTTTCACTTTTTGAGCACGAAAATTAGTGGTACGAATGGCTTGTGGTTTGCTCCCATACCGACGGAGGAAAACATATTTCGTACACATGTTGTATCACGGTTAGTCTGCACGCCAATAAAACAATAATCGGTGTCATGAATCTCTAATTTTATTACTCTTTTTGTCCTAAATTTGTTGTTCAAACAGGAATTAATGGAGTATTTGATTGTTGAAAATTTGTAATATCATGATCAGCGCACAAGAATCACTCCTACCGATGACGGTGGATGCAAAATTACGTGGTGCAATACGGAACAAGCGGGCATTTTGTGTATGCAATTTTTTGCTCAATTTATGGGGAAATGCCATGACGTCGATTGGTCATAAGAATTTTATTTTCAATCGTTTTTAGGCATTTAAAGGCTTTCTCATATTATGTTTGTTTGTTTGTTTTTTTTGGTTGATGATGATATCAACATTGTGCATGATCGTATGAGAGAAGTTTAGGTTTTCCAAGAAAGATCAATTATTGTAAGGTATAGTACTTGTCCAGTCATCACTCATGAGGTTTTTAAGGTCTTCTTTCTCCAACACTTATTTTGCGTTTTTGTCTCATTTTATCTATTAAAATACCTCTCAAACACAACTCCCAATATTATCTAAACAACTTTTTAATTTGCCTTTTAAAAAATATTCAAAAATTATTTTTACACCATTTTCGTCCACCACCACCACCTATCACCACCGGACCCTCCTTACTGCCGCCGGATCATTGCCGGGCCGGTCGGATTCCGGCCAAATTCTAGCCAAAGGCCGGCCAACTCACCGGAATTTGGTCGGAATCCGGCCAGCCAGCGGTGGCAGACGGCCCGGCGGCAGCGCCGGTGATAGAGGTGGTCCGGTGGTGGTCTAAAAATATTATTATTTCATTTAAAATATTACTCAAGTAACTTTTTAAATTTTATCTCAAACCACATTTTAAATCACATTTCAAACCCAAATAAAAAACTAAAACAAAAACTAAAACAAAATGTTGGCCAAACAAGCCCTAAAATTCTTACTCATTTATTTTGTCTGATGACCTATATTATTCATATCAAGGCTGATATTATAACCAAATTATACAAATATTAAAACTCAATGTGGACTATATTTATGGAATAGAGATATATAAATCTCCATAGTAGAGTTTTTTTCTAAGGAATAAAAGTGTATCCTAAAATATATATAAAAATGGGAACGAGTCTCAAAGCGCATTTGATTGATTGCTTATGAAGTACAGTACCTCATATGGCGGAAATGAAATTTGACATTAATTGCATCGAGTAGTAAGGGGTACTTCAGTTCGAATCACTCAAATAAGTTATTTATTTATTTATTTTACCAAAGAAGACTAACGCCTTAAAAACTTAGAGTTACATTGCTTTGTAAGTGGGAGATATTGACAATATCATGGTTTATTCCCGGAGTATAAGTAAGCTCATTATACATAAAACATATTGTCTTTACACGTTTAAGCTCGTGAAAATATATGTTTCCTCCGGAATGAAACTGTATTGGTCCTAACTGGAAGCCTATAAATGGTAACAACGTGACGTGGAAAACAATAATAAAATAAGCAACAAAATGAAGCTTGAGGTGAGTCTAATGTATTCCAAATATTACAACCAATTAGCAGCATGTAAATCGGTCGGAGCTGTGGTAAATAAGTCGAAGAAAAGAATGAAAGCAACGAGGGAAGAGAACTAAAAGCCTATTAGGGCTTTGATGGTTTTGGAAACCCCTACAGAAAGAAAGATCAGATGATCACTTTACAGTTCTCTATTGTAACTTGCTAATTTGTTTTGAAGATTTCAACTAAAGCTTTAGGAATAAAGGTCCTTAATTGATTTATAAGTCTCCTTTCTAAATTCATACCTTTTTTCACGATGGATCCAACAAACCCTTTAATTTGTCTAATGTCGATCTCCATCAATTGATTGTATAAATATAGAATAAACAAGCATGTACGTTTTGGCATTAGGAGACAGGTTCTTCCACTAGATTGGATGGCAGAGGGTTTTGAAATTGATAAACAATTTGGCCAAGCAATGCGCACCTTGGTGGTACTAGATTTCTTCAGCTTGCATACACCAAAAAATGAGGTAGTTGAAGGACACAATTTATCAACTATTAAAATAAGAAATCCTTACTTTCTTCCAAGAGTTTATAGTGAAAAGCGGAATGACTAGAGAGATTTTGGTGTATTGAAATGGTAAAAAGAATTTAAAAAATTTTGGGGGGAAATTGGAGAAAACAACTTACTTAGTAGGAGTAGCGAAATAAAGTCTGGATATCCGTGGTTTATTTTAATGTGTTATAATCAAGATAATTAGATGTTTTGTGATATTATGTATTATATTATTAGTATCACTAGTTAAATAATGAGTTGTATATAATTATTAGTTACTAATTCACACCTAAATCGATTGGTAAGTCAACCCCAATGGATACGTGATATGGACTAGTGTCACATATTTATGTTACACTACATGAAGTAAAACACAAAAATATCGCAGAAAATTTTTGTGATTAAGAATGGTTTCTAATTATTTGCGGTAGAAATAGCAAATCGAGAATTTTGAGTATGCAATGTTTAGCTCAATATTGTCGGTACAAATATAACATGGACGAAGTCGAGTGATGATGTAATATTATATTTTCAACGGGTTTACGTGACTATATTTGATTACTAGTGTAGGATGACATTCAAAAATGCTACAATCAATATTGATGAAAGTTTGGGAAATATATTTTGCATGATATATATTTTGAAGAATGATGTCCTTATGAATTTCTTGCATGTGGAGAGGCAATAACACAATGTTCCAAGGGTGTGCCAGCTATGATTTTAGTTGTCGGTGAACTCATTTCAGATTTGCAGTCCCAAACTTAAAGGAGAAAATGCTCGTTCCATGCACATAAAGAAAAAAAGAAAAGGAAAAGGAAAAAAAAAAAATTAACCAAAAGACATAATGCAACTTGTATTAATGGAAACTTATTCGAACACATTGTGTTTTTTATGACACTTTTATACAACGTTTACTATGAATATGAGTAATGATATTCCACTCTACAAATTTAACACTATTTATAACTCACTTACATGACAATCTTATTGGTATATTCACATCAACTCATGAATAAATAATATTTAATTAAATATTAAAACGCCCTTGTGACAAAATCTTTATGAAAGAACAGTTAAATAGAAAAACTCAAGAGCTCCGTCTACGGCTGAAAAATGGGAATTCCTCTTCTTCCTCCTAGGACATTCGAGTCTCGCTTCGTCACAAAAAAATACACGGTTCGCTACCCGGTTGTGCAACTAATTTTTTGGTTTTGCCTTCAAATTATGTCGGCATTGCTATTGAGTTCGTCGAGCTCTCAATAATCGCATATTAATTCGATTTCTTTTGCAAAAGAATTTTTTTTTTTTTATATATTTCAGAGAAGAGAATTGGTATGTTTCTGCTTTCGGCCAATCTCAAATCTGAAACCCCCTTATAAATTGGTCAAATACGAATCAATTTAAGACATACGAGATACGACGAGATACGAGATACGAGATACGAGATACCCGGTCCTAAAAAAAAAGTGGAAATACGAATCAAAATTTAAGACATACGAGCTACGACGTCTACCTTGCTGGGCAAGAGCAGTGGTACTGTTTTCATTTCTGACCTCTTCAGTCCAACCCGCCAAACCCCCATCAGAGAAAGAAATGGAGAAGCCAAAATTGTCGTTTACTCGAGTGTTTCTGGTGATTGCCGTTGTGGGTTTTTGTTTGATCGGCCAAATCAAGGCGATTGAGTCACCACAGTACACTGTTATGCATTCAGAATCAGATTTTGAGGTCAGATACTATCGGGAGTCGGTTTGGATGAGTGCACCGGCCACCGAAATCTCATTTGACAAGGCCACCAAAGATGGATTTCATCGGTATCCCCCTTCGTCTTTCTCCGCTCTTGTGTCTTTTTATTTGCTGTTATTTTTCTCTTTATTAGGTTATGATTTGATAGTGGTTGACCTGAGTTATATTAATTTTTTTTTGCTGTCTGATTATCATGTCATCGGATTTCAGAATCATTAATTACATAGTTAAATCGATTTGACTGACAAAAAAGATGCAAGGAAGCCTGTTTTTGGTTGTGTGTGTGTTGGGGGATTGGTTGGCGTGGGAATTGTTATTGCTTTTCTGGATGAAACAAATTTCACAGTTGCATGATTATTGACATTTAGTTAGCCCATTGTCTAAGGACCATTCGTGCTAGAAATTGTTGGAACAATAGTTCCTACCCTCTTAGGTTATATCTACAGTTATTCTTGGGGTTCTCAACTTGATGAGCAGCTTCCCTTTGACAATTTCTGTGAATGCCAGTTTTCTTTCTATTTAATTGGTGTGTTTATTTGAAATGAAACGCTTGAAAACTGAATGGTACTGGAATTTGCAATTATAAAATAGAACCGTACTCATCTAGGATATGACATGAAGTTGGTTCATTCTTAGTTGTAGGATGTGATTATTGACTGAGGGCCTTTGGTTGAGTTAAAGTTCATAGTTGCCTTTTGCATATCTACAATTAGGCTTGGTCTGCATATTTATTTATTTATTTTATTTTTTAATTTTTTTTTCCATTCGCCGATTCCGGAAGGTACCTGATGAAACCGGGTTTAATCCTTGAAACATCATATATTGTTACTGTTGCCGTAATCACATGACTGACTAACAAATCATGTTTACTTTTCTGACAGAAAGTATCAAGAACTTAGCAATTACTTTAATTTGGGCTTGTCCCTATTGTTATGCTATTGAATGATGTAAATAGCATATCGTAGGGTGTCCTTTTATGTACCGATATGCGGTATCGAAATGATCAAAATGTCTCCTTTCATATGTACGTATACACAGGGAACAAATGAAACTTAAGGATTTTGTGCCTGGTTATGCCAGTTCTCCTTGTCTCATTAGATCCAAATTTCACTGTCCCCTTATTTCCTCAAATCTCAGTTGTCTGGTAAGCTAGAGATAAACATTCCATCTATATAATAAAACATGTGAGATCTTCATCAGGCTTAGATAAACCTCCTTGATCGAGAAAGATTTGCATTTCTTTTAAGAATTTTTGTTTACAATAAATTTCCGATGAAGATCAACTGGATGAACTCTTTGGGACTTCAATTATGCTATATGAATATTCCATGCTGAATGTACTGGAGTTCAAGGCAAACATTTGCTAAATACGTGGTGGATGAACTTTTGGTTTGGACTTGATGCTGTAGCCATCTTGAAGGTGTAGGCACTACCTATTGATAATAAAATGTACACGTGTCTGGATTGAGTCCTTTTCTTTCTTTCTATATATATATATATATATAAGGTGGAATCAGAACCAAATTACATACGCACACTTCTTAGGAACGGATTGGCGAATCTATCTATCAAGAGGTGACTTTGTACATACTCTGCGGGGGTTGCCAAAATATGTAACCCACAAAACATATTAATACCTTCCTTAGCTAAAACATCGGCTACCCCATTAGAATCTCTAAACGTATGGTTAATATCTATATCTATAACCCAATTACATCAGAATAGAGCTTTAATCCTTCTGAGCAGTGTGGGCTGGTGTGTCGTTTGTGACTCATCCATGAGCAAGGCAACAGCTTCAACAGAGTCACACTCCACTTGAATATGGGAGAAACCAGCCCTGATAGCATAGCAGTGTGGTAGATTCCCCATAGTTCAGCTTCAGTTATTGAGCAAAAACCGACATTAGCCGAAAAACCCAAAAGCCAGCAGATGTATTCAATTTTATAACCCCAGGAGGTGGTGGATTCCAGGCAAAAAAATAGAGATTAAGAGGTTTGTCATCTCTCCTTTTTCTAAACCCTCCATTACACCAGGCTATTTTTTTTTTTACTGCAGCACGAATGATCATTATCAATTCCAAGCCACTGATTTCATCATTAGTAAAAATTTCCTCATTTCTAGTCCACCACAGCTTCCAACAGATTGTTGCAAACCTGGTATTCCAGGAGATTCCAGCCTGCAAAAAAGAAAGAGAAAGAGTAGTATTTAACCAGACTTGCAGGTCTTCTGTAATTGAGTCCTTTTTTTAGATGCTGTTTTCTCCTTTTAGGCATGCATTCCTTTACCTTCCATTTTTGTAATTGGAGGTGAAAGTAGAGAAATATAGTCCTTTTTTGGTTCATATTCACATGTAATCATTTCTTGTCCACTAATCTTTCACTAACTTTATCAATACTGCTGTGATATTGATAACTTAATTTAATCTATTTTAGGTGTATCGTAATTTACTCATACAATCTTGCATTCTATAAGATGGCTAGAATCTTGAGAGGGCCAAAGAGTTTTCTTCATTAGTGCTATTGATGCGTGTTAACTTCAGTGGAGACGATTTTGCTGCTGGGATGGGTTTCTTCCTATTTCATCTCTGTTCTGGCCGTATTTTATAGACTGTGATAATTGATTCCAGGTAAAATTAACAATAAGTCATGTGTTGTAGCTGGTGGATATTTGGCTCTGTAGTTTCATCTGTTGTAAGTAGACATTCAGAGGAAAGTAACAATATGCATGAAACACCACAGGTTCATGTGAACTTTCTGGTGTTAGCAGAATAGATTCTCAAGTAAACAGAAAATTTTTGCAATACATGGTGTAAGCCGTTACAATGTTTTTGGTAAACGAAGCTATGATTTAGAAGAAAGCAAACCATTCTGTAAAATATTTCTCTTATTAAAGCTGTATTTAACCCTGCTTAACCACTTTATATGGTTGTCTTGAATCTTGATGAACCATTTCCCTTTCCCTTCACAGGTTGTTTCAATATATCCAAGGGGCAAATTTGAACTTCTCCAGGATCCACATGACCGCACCTGTCTTGACGAGCATTGTTCCTGGGGCTGGACCTCTTCATGCATCAGCTTACTTTGTGAGACTCTATCTGCCTTTGGAGTTTCAAGCCAGCCCGCCACTTCCCCTTCCCGAACTTAACCTGAAGCCTGACTCCTGGTTTAGTCATTGCATTGCTGTGAGGAAGTTCTCTGGATTTGCTAGGGACAGCAATGTTGTCAAAGAAGCTGAGAAATTGGCCATCAGCTTGAGCAAATCTCCTTGGGCAAATTCTACTTCTGATAGTAAATCTGCTTACTCGATTGCACAGTACAACAGTCCTTTCCGATTTCTGGGACGCCAGAATGAGGTCTGGGTTGATATTGTGGGATCTGAAGCAAACGGCTGCAAGTCTAAACTATTGGCATCATACTGAAGCTGTTGATTGAAGCTGCTTGTTTGTGTAAAACTTGTACATGTTTATGTTGTAAAAATGTTGGACGCAAAGGGATCGAACAAGGACCTTGTTTATATACAATTAAACTCATTTTGAGAGCCATGGTATTGGATGTTCTTAGTTTATCTGTTGATTTTAACTAAGCTAAAACTGAACTATGATTATTTGCCTAGTCAGTAGCGCTTCAGGGTCCAATTACACTAGCTTTTTCAGCAGATATTTGGCGAATTAGTACTCTATTTTACATAGCTCAATAGTGGCAAAAATGATATACAAATGTACAACACTAGCAAAACTTCAAAAAAGTAATGACCTGCAGCATAGGTAAGATGGTAAACAAGCCCTAGCACAAGAGGCATCCCTGCTTGGCATCGGAAGCTTAACTTGATTATAATGTACTACGAGAAGAAGGAACAAAAGTAAAACAAATAAAGGAAAAGGGGATGAAATCATTTTATAATATCTCAGGCTGAAAATGTCACTATCTGATGTAGCAGTGGAATGCCACAGGTAGTCTCCTTCAATCATTGCAGCTCCCAAGGTCCAGGAAATGTCTCCAGGGCCAAAGACTACCTCAACGTTTCTGAGACACAGAGCATCTTCAATCAGAGATGCCATATATGGCACCCGGAAACAATCTTGCCCAGAAGTGCTTGTGTGATCAGACCATAATTTTGGGCACAAGTGTTCACCTGTCTCCCACATGTTTGTTGAATTTGCAGTTCTACTCAAATTCAAGCGACTGTAGATTGCGAAAAAACCAGACATTGCATTATAGTGTCTCGTCATGTTCGGATGAGATGTCACATTCAACAGCATGCTGCCTGCAGAGGAAAAGTTGAGCATCAGAAAAAACCACTTTTGTTTATGGGAATGAAAGATGTTCCTCAAATAGAAGCTCAGATTCACAAAAGGAAAATCTTCACATATATCAATATATCGAAAGGTGAAACGCAGGACTATGTAGAAGCATTCAATCACACTTGTGTACAGGAAATAACATTAGTACATGCCATGGGAAACAAAAGATTATACAAACTTACATATCCAACCATTGCTCAGGGCATGATGGAAAGTCTTCACAGGCAAAATAGATTCAAAATTTCAAAGCCGTGAAAGAAAGGGGAAAGGTAACATTGACTCTGAAGCTTCACATTAAATGGTACAAGGATGAGTAAAGGCACAAGGTGGGCAAGTTTTAAGTTTTCTAACCTTTCACAGACACAAACTTAAGCCCACTTTTCAGGGAATACAAGAAGAAGTGAGCTTATCTGCTGAAACTAGAGTTTGATAATCCAAAGGCACATGAACTTGATTTAGCGTGGAACGTGGTCTTTTGGTAAAGCTACTCAATGATGCATCTGACTTCGAGGTAATGCACACCTTGATTCAAATAAATCTGTGCATGCATATTGAACCCAAACTTGAACTACTTGTGGAAATATTGAAAATTTAATTATTTTGCCAAAACATTTCAAAAGACACGAAATAAAAGTTTATTTGTCCCCTCCAGAGAGGGACTTGTTCCCTAAAATGTACAAGTACTAATAAATTTAAATTAAATGAACTCACCAGTGATGATCATAATCTCAAGCTTGCACAACAGAGTTTTAATGTCAACATTTCATGTGTGAATATCATCGAGACGACCATTCATTTCATATGATTTTCAATAATTATTATTTCAGTATGTCCAAGTTACAACAATTAAGGCCTTCTTCTCACTATATGGCTCATCTATGTGGATTTTGTTTTTCCATCTACTCTGTCAAAACATGCACGCTCACTTAGGTAACTATTGGCCTTTTTAATAGTTCCTTTCTTATTCTTTGTAGGTCTTCCCATTATGCTTTTGATTGGAGTATGTCCTAGCTCAAGAAAAGAACGTACGAAATCAATGCGCCTAAAAGTAAGACACTAGGGAACCAAATTCCTTGGATGTGCTAGAAAAGGAAGTTGCCTCCTGATTTGCAATTGTCACCCTCTGAAAATCCATAATATAACAACCCACGAGGCATGGACCATTTCAGATATCATCGTTACTCATATAGGATTGTTCTTATTAACCGATGTTAACAGTTCCACTCATGAATGGTTTTGGCAGAATCAGAACAACTTCGGTCTTCCAGGCTTTTGAGCAGCCTAGCTCCTCTAAGAGTTAGGGTATCTTATGCTCACAATGTAATTGAAAATCAAGGAAAAAATATATCTCCCAATTTGTGGAATCAGTCAATACGCTTGTATATGAAGAAAAAGCCTGAGTTACGCTTGTATATGAAGAAAAGGCCTGAGTTGTAAGAAACTAAAGGACTCAGGAAACAGGAAGGGTAGTTCTTCGGGTAAATAGTTTAGCAGACACAAAATATTAACAATGAGACCTTTTTATCTCAAGCTTGGGATAATTTCAGGGAACAAGTTTCTCTGCAGTCCTTATTTGAACTCGTTTAGTACTTAATCCTTCTTTTTTCTCTTAGATGTGAAATCAATTTTTAAAAACTCATGTGAAACCTGTATAATGACTGTCTTTCATTAGATACAAGGACAGCATTGTTGCTGGAGAGATTCACAGTTTATCACATATTAATGTTCAAAAAAATTTAACAAAAGAAATTGTAAGTATGAGCTCAATCATGAGAAGAAAAACTACACCAACCAGATAACAATAACAAGAGACTAATTCAAGCACAACAAGACTTGAAACAGCAACTTACAGCTTTTCACAGCATGTTTATTTGATTGGGAACAGAGGACCTCCACAAAAAGAAAAGGGAGGTGGTCCAAATATTGTCATTATGACAAAGGTTGTTATTTGCTCCAAACGGAGATCAGTTTCCTAAGCATTAATATATCTTTCAGCAAATACTATTTCTAATCAATATGCTATTTCAATTAACTGTCCCCAGCTGACTAGAACATAAAAGAGATGAGAAATGATATGGTGATGGAGACATATACACATATGGCCAACCCAACAGTAGGATAATGGCACAGCTGTTGTTATTTGTTGTTATGGTCTGTTTGAGTGCTACCAAATAAACAGTACTTGATCAGTCTAAAGTCCTACCCTAGTAGTAAGTCAGGAACACCTGCTCCAATATGATTTATCAGTTTCTACTCTCTCGTACTGATACACTCTAAAATGCAGAAGCAATCCGCGAACAAACAGTTAATAGGTTGTTGATGCACCTTATCTAGCTAGCATGAACAGATGATTCATGGCATAGAGAAAAAATCAATAAAACCTACCCCTTAGCATTCGTCGAGATAATTTTATTGGTTCAACCCAAAAAAAGAAAAAAAAGGAAAAACACTTTCATTGAAAAAGTAGCACAGAATCTAAAATGCATGATATAGAACAAGAGATTTCTGCAAAACATCCTTCAGTAGCTGCATTTAAACATAAGGAAGAAAACTTCGATAACTAATTTAGGTTTACACACAAAAAAAAAAAAGAAGATCAACAGACCTGCAAGAGAAGACAACCCTATGCAGTTTGAATTCTTGCTCTGTTGGGGCAATGTCGGATTGCTTAAATTGACAGCAGAAGCTCTTGCCACCTCCTTGCACTGTTCCCAATTTGAGCTCCCTCCCAACAGTACAGTATTTGGCCTCTTTTCTTCCATCATTGAGGTCAAATTTTCCGATATAATACGATTTTGTACAAAGCAACCAAGGCATGTATAGTTTTGCAAAAAACTGGAACTCAAACAAGGATGAAGAACTTCAAATACACCGTTTCCACGTTCACGGAGTGCCTCAGAGTGGGTTAGCAATACAACACTCCTATCAAAAGCCTCATTCAAGCCAAATGCTGGTAATGAGTATGCTAAAATTCTACGTTCAAATGAGCCAACTTTTGAAATCATAATATGATCACCATCTCTTGATTTGTCCACTTCAGTCACAACCTGCAATGACGACCCACCTAAATCAAGCAGTCCCAAAGATGGCAATCTTGAGAGGTTGCCAAATATTCCCATCTTGTAATTCAAAGAAACCCATCCGTAGTGAGCTTCTTCTGTACCACTCAAAACTCTGATCCAATCTTTCCTATAGAAGAAACTGTGTTTCTTTAAAACTTTCTGTACATCCTCCAAAACCAGCCTAGCACTTTCAGCCTCCAATTTCCTCATCCCAGCAGTAGCCAAAACAAATATAGGTGTGAGTGAATGCTTATCGACAGGTACCCATTGTTCCGCTAATCGAATCAATGGCTCCAATGACACCATCACTCCAGATGCATTACCTACAAACTTATCTAAACCGGGCTCAGTTTGCCGACAGTGATACTGACAACCATAAGTAGTATCAGAGTTTTCCGGGTAACTTTCTAGCAACAATGGTAATTTTGAGCCATCTTTGAACATCCATTTGTACACATTTACTCTTGAACCAGTACTTCCACAATCCAAAACAACAGTATAATACGTGCCCCTTTTAGATTCATAATGATTAATGTTTGGCCTAGTCATAAAAACCCCACAGACCATAACTAAAATCAATACAGTGAAAATGGCTGTTCCAATAATCAGAATTCTTCGAGTACGAGTAAATCCCATAACCTGGAGTTTAGACTTTGATGGTGATATGGGTTCCATAGTAACAAAAAGAGTAAGAACAAATGAAAAGATGCCAATCAGACAGTTCATACAAATTCATATCAAACAAGTTGTACAATAATCCCAGAAGTTCAGTTCGTATCAAGCCAAAGATGGAATTTCGCACCTAAGTTTTCTGAAATGGAAGATGCAAATTGCAATGAGCCTTCTCCGCCCAACTCCATTGGGTGAATGAGATTGAAAAACATGCCGGTGATCTACTTTGATGGGCACCTTTTGAAAAAAAAAAAAAAATCATTGATGGGCAGAAACAGAATACAAAGGAGGAACAAAAGAATAAGGGGGAATTACATTTTGCCTCCTAGTTTAATGGTCAAAATAGAAAGAAAAACAAAACGAAAAAGAAAAAAAGGGAAAATGAAATGTATGGAAACTATGGTTAATATAGTTATTTCAATATTTAGCCCCTATAACACCATTATTAAAACTCAAGGTATTGATGATAGATCAGACAAAAACTCGGGGGATGAAATGTAGTTCTGCCTAATAATAAATAGAAAAAAATTTATTTTATAATCGTATAAATAAGGGTCTCCAAATCATTTATCTCACGAATTGTTATGTAATTTATGTTTGAATTTTATTGTTTGTACATTTTAAAGGGCAAAATGACAAGACGAACAAAATTTTGGCATAAACTACTACGTTTATTTTGGCATAAACTACTACATTTTCCCCCAAACTTCTGCACAAAAAATAAATAAATAAATAAATTGCACTTAAATTTTTTTTTATTGATTTTACAAAAATTTATTTTTTAGTTAGATTTCAGTAAATTGTACTTGATAACTCTCCCTCTCGAGAGGAAGTAGAGGAAAACCATTCCTTTCACATTTCTAGATTATTGTTTCTTTTTCGCTAGTAGGTTGTGGTTAAAAGATATTCTTTTGGGTTTTTACTTTGGGTCATGACAGATAGTCCCTTATAGTTTCCCTACCTTACTGGATAACGACACAGCTCGACAGGACGAAGAGGTAAACATTTTCCTTCACAAATTTAGACTTAGTATTTTTTATTGTTGCTGTCAATAGGGTGTAGTTAAAAAATGAATATTTTTGGGACTTTTATTTGTCATGACAGATGGTAGCCGACTCCACTTTGTTTTTTGTGTTGGTGGACTACTAGCACGATCCGATTCAAATTTTTTTAAAATTTTTTACTTAAACATTATCAACAGAAGTTAGAATAAAATACGACAACGAGGTGCAGTTTAGTGGTAAGACGCCTCACTTTTGACCTATAGGTCACGGGTTCAAGTCATAACGAGAGTAAGTGGGAAATCACTATTGATCCTCTTTATAAAAGAAAAAAGAAAAAAAAAAGCTAAAATAAAATATGATAGCAATCCGTAACAAAACCAATCTTTAAGAAAAGACCAACTTTGCTAATTCGGAAAGTCAGAGATTTGTAGGCAGCGAATTTGGAGAATTTGGATTTAAAGACTCTAGAACACACGAAAAACAAAAAAAAGAAAAGATATTTGACCTCACGTGGATCAATTCACGAGTTCAATGGTAGAAAAACCCAAATCAAAAATGAAGAGAGCTAATTCTAACCAAGCAAAGACCCTTTGGAAAATTGTGTAAGATCTATGAGCCCAAATACCAAGATTCGAAAGATCCAATACTAAAGACGCCACTATCAAGCGAACTAAACAAGATAGATAAGTCTAACAATTGTCACAACACATATGCAACAACCAAACAAAGAAGTCCTCACAAGAACTCCACGAAAGGAATAAAATCCTAACCAATTTCACTCAGGAAAATATCAATGACACAAAGGTGTCTTGGACAAGAGGATTTCGGTCCCTATATATAGAGGGGTGGCCGAAATTTCTTCCCTAGAAGTAGAGGAAGAACACAACTCTTCACCTCTATTCCTATCTCTAAGAATCTGAAATGAAATCAACCTCTAAAGACTCCTAGTTATCTTAAGTGATAAGATAACGAACCTAGACACTTTTAGTAGTCTTAAAACATTTAAGACTTGTAGGAATGAATTAAAACTCAAAATACAAAGAGATAATCTCTTAGAAAGATTCCAATGGGTAGAATCTCCCTTGAGTTAAAACTCTATCATCATCTTCTTTGTAGAGTGATCTTAGTCATCCATCTTGATGTAGTCTTCATCCAACGGTTGAGTAGACATCAAAAGCTAACTCCTTATAGTAGGAAAATTAAAAAACAAGATAAAAAGAATCATCCCAAATATTATCCTTTAAAGAGATAAAAGTCTTCTCTTTCAAAGAGATAAAATTTGAATGATCTGACCCCTAAACTTTAGGGAGCAATTCGACCAACATGAGGAGATGTGGCCGGCGGTTCCTTTGAGGATTGAGGGCCGAAATTCTTCTCTCCAAATGGGCCATGTCCATTTGGTGTTACTTGCAACAAATTAATAGTCTTGGGCTTGTAATCTTCAAGCTTAATTTTCTCCTTAGCCCATGTAGTAACAATTAGACTATTAAGTGATTCATTCATCCTCTTGCGTCTAGCACGAGTCATTGGTCCAACAATGTTTGAGAGTTGATCACGAATGTAAGGATTATTCTTTAAAGCAGCATCTTTAGATCCTCCATTAGCATTCACGACCTCAACTTGCTCGTCCTCTCCATTATTGGCAGCAACATGTCCCTCTCCATTAGTGTTAGCTAGATGGTCTCCATCATACTCCCCTTCTTTAAGAGAATTCGTCCTCGAATTCAAACCTTCATCAAAATCAAAAGGAGACAGGTCAGAAACATTGAATGTAGCACTAACACCATACTCACCTGGTAAAGCAAGTCTATAAGCGTTGTCGTTGACACTTGACACTACTTGAAAAGGTCCATCTCCGCGAGGATGTAACTTCGATTTCCTAGAGTTTGGAAACCTCTCTTTTCTCATATGTACCCAAACCCAATCACCTGGTTCAAATACAACTTGTTTACGACCACGATTCGCCGACTTTACATATTGTTGAGTCCTACGCTCAATATTGAGGCGAACTTTCTCATGCAGTCTCTTGATTGTCTCAGCTTTCTTAACTCCATCCAAACTAACTTGATCCTTTAAAGGCAAAGGTGATAAATCTAAAGGAGTTAACGGATTAAAACTATAGACAATTTCAAAAGGCGAAAACTGAGTAGAAGAGTGAACAGTTCTATTATAAGCAAATTCAGCAATAGGTAAGCACTCTTCCCATTTCTTCAAATTACTCTTGATGATCGCTCTTAGGATAGCTCCTAAAGTACGATTCGTCACTTCAGTTTGACCATCAGTTTGTGGATGACTAGTTGTGCTGAATAACAACTTCGTACCCAACTTTCCCCACAACGATTTCCAAAAGTAGCTAAGGAACTTAACGTCCCTATCACTAACAATTGTTCTTGGAACACCATGAAGTCTTACTATTTCTTTTAGAAACAAATCCGTAACATGACGTGCATCATCTGTTTTTCTGCAAGCAATGAAATGTGACATTTTAGAAAATCTATCCACAACTACAAAGATAAAATCTATACCTCTTTGAGTTCTAGGTAAACCCAATATAAAGTCCATAGATATGTCCATCCAAGGTTGTGTAGGGATAGGCAATGGCGTGTAAAGTCCATGAGGAAGCGATTTGGACTTCGCTTGTTTACACTCCACACATTGATTGATGATAGTCTGAACGTTAGACTTCATTTTGGGCCAAAAGAAATGCTCTTGGAGCACATCCAAAGTCTTAGGCACACCAAAATGTCCCATTAAACCTCCACTATGCGCCTCGCGTATCAAAAGTTCTCGAAGTGAACACTTAGGCACACAAAGTCGATTTTCTCGAAATAGATAACCTTCATGTCTATAAAACTTTTCAAAAGCACTTTGCTCACAAGCAGTAAAAATATTGGCAAAATCAATATCATTACAATATAGATCTTTAATAAACTCAAATCCCATCAATTTTGTATCTAAAGAAGTTAACAAAGTGTCACGTCTAGATAAAGCATCAGCAACAACATTTTCTTTTCCCTTTTTATACTTGATAATATAAGGAAATGTTTCAATGAATGCAACCCACTTAGCATGTCGTTTGCTTAGATGGTTTTGCGATTTAAGATGCTTTAGAGATTCATGATCTGTATGAATTATAAACTCCTTAGCCAACAAATAATGTTGCCAAGTCTCTAATGCACGAACCACAGCATAGAGTTCCTTGTCATAAGTAGGATAATTAAGACAAGCTCCATTTAACTTTTCACTAAAGAAAGCTATAGCACGTTTATCTAGCATTAAAACAGCACCAATACCAATACCAGAAGCATCACATTCTAACTCAAATGTCTTGTTAAAATCAGGTAATCCTAAAACAGGGGCACTAGAAAGGTCTCGTTTTAAGTCATTAAAAGCTTTCTCTTGGGCTGGTCCCCAAACAAATTTAACTTCCTTTTTAACCAACTCATTTAAAGGGGCAGCTTTAGTCAAAAAATCTTTAACAAACCTTCTATAAAAACTAGCCAAACCATGAAAAGATCTCACTTGTGTCACATTAGTTGGTGTAGGCCAATCCTTAATAGCTTGTATTTTAGATTCATCAACATGAATTCCTTTTGCACTAACAATGAAACCAAGAAACACAACTTCATTTACACAAAATGAACATTTAGGCATGTTAGCATAAAGTTTCTCTTCTCTCAATGTTTGCAAAACAATTCTCACATGTTCAACATGTTCTTGTAAGTTTTTAGCATACACTAAGATATCGTCAAAATATACAACAACAAACTTACTAATATAATGCCTCAAAACATGATTCATTAATCTCATGAAAGTACTAGGAGCATTAGTTAACCCAAAAGGCATCACTAACCACTCATACAAACCAAAATTTGTTTTGAAAGCAGTTTTCCATTCATCTCATTGTCTAACTCTTATTTGATGGTAGCCGGATTTTAAATCCACTTTAGAAAAGATAGTAGCACCATAAAGATCTTCAAGCATATCATCTAATCTAGG